TCCCCGGGCTCCCAGATCCGCGAGGTCTGGCTGCTCCCTGCACCCTGGGCCTGCCCCGCGTGGAGGTCGCCGGGGCCGCTCCGGCGGGCAGAGGGCGTCCGTGGGGGACTAGTGGCCCGGAGTGGGTCTGGGGACGTCGAGGTTTCGGTGTGACAGAGTTAATCATTCACCCTGCCCGCCGCGGGTCCTTCGCGGCCGTGGCAACGTGGGGTGCCTGCGCGGCTCGGCTCCGCCGTGTTTTGAAACCTGATTCTGAACAAGTTCGGATCGGGTTTCAGCGCCGCGGGGTAGCAGGGCCCGGAGGCCGCTCCGGGGGCCCCTAGCCAGCGCGTCCGCCTCCCAGGGCTGGGTGGGGGGACCGGCTGCCTGGAGGAGACCCCATGGGAGCTAGGGGCGCTGACGAGTGCACCCCCCGCGTCCCCTACCCCGTGGGGCTGGGACTGTTGAATGGACAGGTTTTTCTCTTCTCTGGTAGAAAATACCAGGACTTCCACCTCTTTTGTGTCCTTCGGAGTGTGTGTGTGTGTGTGTGTGTGTGTGTGTGTGTGTAGTTAGATGAGGTAAAGTAAGGAGAAGGTCGCCTAAAGACGTGCGGCCCTGGCCTTGGGAACTGGGAAGGAAGAGTCGAGCGTCCTGCGCGGGCCATCGGGAAACGCCCGCGGGCCAGGTGGAGGTGACCGCTGCGTCGCCGCCCGCGAGTCCGGCTTCGGGTAACCAAAACAAAACGGGTCCCGGAGGAGCGAGAGCCCTCCCGCAGACCTGCGGAGCTTTTGCCCGGCCCTGCCACCTGCCCCGCGCCCGCTGGGGGCCGCGGATCTCCGCGAGCGGGCGGAATCGGCCCGGCTGGGCCAGAGAGTAGGGAGCGGCCACCGCGCACAGGCACAGGCCAGCTGCCCTCCAGCAGGCTCCTCACCCCAGCCTGCTTGGTCCCCAGGCTCCCCGCCCCCTGCGCCACCATGCCTTCACCCCCTCCCCATTAACCACGCGCGCGCGCACACACACACACACACACACACACACACTTAGTTGCCTAGTATAGGCCCCTCTCCGGATCTGCCTCCCACCCGCACCCCCGGTGAGTCACCCTTACAGACGGCGACGGCAGCTCAGCCTCAGCTCATAAATCAGAGCGCTTTCTGCGCTCCTGGCCCCGCAGCCCAAAGCCGGGTAATCCTCTCCCCTAGGCTTGAAGGCGAACAGACCGCGGGCCACTGCAGAGTTGGATCCTTCGCTGGGCCAAGTCCCACTACGCATCCAAACTGCCTCTATCCTGCTTCTCTGCCCACCCACAGACCAAATGGGAAGAACCCCCCAGTCCTCTCTGCCAAAGTCAGGGAGCAGAGGAGCAGTCTTGTCTGGAACCGGGCTGAGGACCCTGGGAAGGGTTCTGATGTTTATGAGACCCAGTGACCCCCACACACTCTCACCTCCAAGGCACTGGATAGTTAAATCTATGCCTTTGACTTCAAAGGTGACTGTACAAAAGTCTTCTAGGGTGGGAGTTTTCTTTCAGAGAAGTTTGGAAACAGGTGAGAAAATAGTTTCAGGTTGGTGAACTGGCAAATACAGTTGAGTACTTCACACCTCCTATTATTCATTTGGCAGTTCCCAACCTCCAAAGCAACACTAGTCTGAATTAGTTGGGCAGTTGGGGATTGAACTCCTGAACAGGAAAATCTATGATGTAACTAGTGGCACATTTAAACAGTAAAGAAAAGCACAGCACTGCTGTAAAAAGGAAAATATACTATTCTTCTGTAAGTCCTGTTTGCTGAATTTATATCTTCCGGATCATTGGCCTTTCCCTGAATTTATTGTTATTTAAAAAATGATTAGGATCTGAGAGTTCATCTTCAGAGCCTGCTGAAGGGCCTCAGAGCTTAAATAAGGCTAGCAGACATCCTGCTGTGCTTTCCTTAAATACTGCTTTTAATGGATTTAGAAGCTGTCTTCTAAACAAATGGCCCTGTGTGGAATGTCATCTCCTTGACCTTCTGAATGGCTTGGTTTCCCCCCCTGTACAGTGAGTCAGATGGCAATCCCAGCACTGAAGATGAATCCAGCAAGGGACACGAGGATTTGTCTCCTCACCCACTCTCCGGTTCATCTGACAGCGTCACCAATCTCAGCCTTTCCAGCCACATGGAACCAGTGTATATGCCGCAAATTGGAAATACTAAGATACCGTTAAGCTCTTCCGGAGTTCTGTTGAATGGAAGCTTGGTTCCTGCAAGTACTTCGCCTGTCTTCCTTAATGGTAATTCTTTTATTCAGGGACCCAATGGAGTTATCCTTAATGGATTAAATGTAGGAAATGCTCAGACAGTGTCACTGACTCCACCAAAAATGTCTTCTAACATTGTGAGCAATGGCGTAGCCATGACTGACATACTGGGGTCTGCCTCCCAGGATGTGAAGGAATTCAAGGTCCTGCAGAGTTCTACTGCTAACTCAGCAGCTACCACCTCCTACAGCCCCAGTGTGTCATTCCCAGGACTGATACCCAGCACTGAAGTGAAAAGAGAAGGCATTCAAACGGTGGCTTCCCAGGATGGAGGCCCTGTAGTGACTTTTACTACACCAGTGCAAATTAACCAGTATGGCATTGTCCAGATCCCTAATTCCGGAGCAAATGGCCAGTTCCTTAATGGGAGCATTGGATTCTCTCCACTGCAGCTGCCTCCCGTCTCAGTGGCAGCGTCACAAGGTAAAAGCCTCACTTCATACCATAATACACCAGTGGGTGTGTTGGTCAGCTACTACAAAGGATGCATTTAGTAAGAGCTTTAGATTGCTGCTGCTGTCCAGGTATCTCATTGGCAGCCACAGCTGCACAATATCCTTGATGAGTGTGTCATCCTTGATGAGCGTGTCCTCCTTGACACCTGTGTTGTATCCAGCTTCCTTCATTCCCTCATACCATGTGGATGGGCTTTTGTCTTCACAAATGAGTGGAAAGCATCTTGCACAATCTACTATTATAGAAATATAATAAGTCAGTCCATGCCTACAAAATAACCCACAACTTGACACTTAATTGCTAAGAACAGAAAATTAGCCAAGTTATTGGTAAGGATGTTTATACTTTACCTCGGCATTATTTATTTGAGCAAAAAAGCACTAAGAGAAACAAGCTTAAACAAAAAAAAGTGAGGGCCAGGGAGATACCTCAGCAGCACAGAGCCTGCCTGGCAAGTACAAGGTCTTGAGTTCAATTCCTGGTATCCAAAAAAAGATCAAGTGATTTTATTTGAAGCCTTTTCCTTTATAATTAAAACAAAGACTTAAAAGAAATCCAGAGGATATGTAATAGGTTGCCTATTGCTCTGGATTTATATTTACTTTCAAAACATATGGGTTTATTTATGAAGATAACTTGAAGCCATATTGGCTATATTGGTGGATTTACTAATAGAAATCTGCTAAGCACTAATTTGAACTTTGGGAAACTGAGGCTGACATGTCTGAGGATTTTTGCTAACTTTAGGCAAGGCTGGGTCACTTTGTATAGAAATAGGAATGGCAGTGACATAGGAGTCCCTTAAGTTCCGGAATGGGAGATAGAGACATGTATTTGACATTTTAGAAGCAAATGTATAAAAGTCTGGATTTTTACTACAGCAAACTTAAGTAATTGTTGGCCTGAAAGGTCCACTTTCTGAAAGGATAGCTTACGAGAAAGAAAAAAAAATTATGCCCAACTCTGTTGTTTCCATGACTGTGGCCTATTTCAGCTTATTGGAGGTATTAGTGGGAAAAATCCTTGTGAATTTCATTCTGGGAGTCCGTGTCTAAGTTTCAGCAGAATGGCAATATAGTACAGCAGTCTCGCAGTGTGCTGTTATTCAATTCTTTGTTCCAGGCCATATAAAGAGATAAGCCTAGTGACATAGGGCAAAAGTATGAAACCCACAGTACTTAGTTTTATAATTTAATATGTGTCTAGTCTCTTTTCCTTCTTCAGGGAAATTTCTAACCAGCAAGTAATGTTTATAGAAAACGAATTTGAGCAAAAAGTATGAGTATACACATTGAGGACAAAAGCAAAGTATTTTTTATTTGTAATCTAGCAAAGTGCTACCATAGAAGATTATGAGGAACTGATAGCTAGTTTTCTGAATGCAACAGTTAAGAGAAACAAAAAATGGCATTTTTGTTTAAAACAGCTAAGAGCAAATGGCAAGGCTGTTAGTCCTTAAAACTGAATGCATAATTTCACCAGATAGGTCCAATAAGCAGCATTCCTTTAGAGTAGTTGTGTGTTATAGTTCACAATAAAGCATTTTGGGGATTTGACCTTTCTCACGAACATATGTTAAGGCTTCTTTAAAATGTCTAGACAAGGTAGACTTGTTTTTCTGTAACTGAAATTTATATTTAAAATAATAGAACAAAAAAAATAATAGAACATCTACATCCTTTACTCACCTTATTATCTGAGAAAATGAGACTTTTGAGACTTTTTCCCCCATCATCATTACAAAGTTTTCACCTATGATTTTAAGTTGGATTCTTAAACTGATTTTAAAATTACTGTTCAGTGTATGACTCTATTGCAATTTCACTTAAGTCATCTTTTAGATCACATCTACTTTTCCCCATTTGTATATAATTTCTACACATACAGAAGAATTATTTTCCTTCTATTCAATAGCATTGGGAAAATGTTGCATGTAGAATATAATTTATGGAGCTATTGAAATTGATCATTTTGTTCACAAATATAATGGTAAACAATTTTACAAGCACATACAACAAAAGAAACATCAATTTCAAATGTGTCTTTGCTGATATATAGCAGCCTATAAGAATTTTAAAGCATACTTACATTGAAGCCGAATATTTTCAAGTGAAAGAAGTTGTTTTTGGTTTTCTGTATGGCTGGCCTAAGCACAAATTTATGTTGTGTTTAGGAATAGCTTAACCCAACCTAGAAATGCTTTTCTTAACAACCAGTGTTTCTGTGGTGAATACTTCCTAGTAGTTCCATTTGGAAAAGGAATTGAAGTACAGTGATTTTTTTTTTCTCATTTAGAAACATTCCTTTGCATTAGGGTGCTTTAAAATGTTTTACAGCCTAGTAGAATGGATTAATCAATATAGGTAATAATCTAATCACCATTATTCTAATACTTCGAGAAGGATATGATGTGGGTGATTACTCAGTTTAACCTCGGGCTGTTGTCCCAAACAGTAAGACCATTTAATTCAAAGTCAAGGTAAAGGGCTGGTGAGATGGCTCAGTGGTCTAGAGCACCTACTCAGAACAAGTTTAGCAAAGCACAGGGACTGCAGTTCAATCCCCCAGCACCACATGCCAACCAGCCCCGCCCCCTGCTGGGCTGAGCTGCCCCCCACACACACACACACATAAATAAAATTTAAAAAAAAAAATTACACAAAGTCAAGGTAAATAGCCCCTCTGAATTGTGTGACAAAGCATTCCTCCAGCCTTCTCCCACCAATGGCGATATTTGGAGCTTAGCTCACCTAATTGCCATCATTTCACTCTGCTTGTGTGAAGACTCATAACAGAGATCATCTTATTGGAGGGTCTAACTCTCCTGCAAGGTCTGAGTTCTCTGATTTGAACATCTCAGCTTTCCACTTGTGTTTCTTTTTCTGCTTCCAGCCTCAACAGGCCATTATAGCGAGAGCCCAAAAGATACAAACCTTTTAGAAAAACATTAGCTGTGGTCCTTCATGTTAGCTTGCAGGTTAAATAGCACATTTTGGTGTTATCGTTACTTCTTCCTACCACTGTAACCCTGAAAATTCAGAACTGGCTCAGCAAAAAGACCTTTGAATGTTGTGTTGATTCGACATTATTTTAGGGCTAGTTTGGTGAAAGTTTGAAACTTGTCTGTACAAGTTTATGTGGTTAACTTTTTTTAAGCCTCAGGGAAACTCATTTTCTGTGGCATTTTGTACCTTTCCATTCATATTGTATGTCAGTTACTGAGCAGTCCTGAACAAAAGGCATTCTATTTTGCATTTATATTTTCTAGTTCTAACTGGTAGCACTAGCAATAACTGGACACTAATTAAGAGCTATCAAGTTGGTAATAATGAACCAAATACTTAACAGAAATCAGAACTTGAGCTAGGTTTTCTTTTCTTTTTTTCTTTTTTTTTTAATACTTGATTTCCAAACCAGTAGTTTTCACTTCCGTTTTGTCATCAGAATTTGTTGGATAGTTAAAACTACAGCTTTGTTAAGCCAGGTGTGGTGGCAGGCACCTGTGATCCCAGTCCCCTGAGCTTGGGGCGGGAGGATTTCTGCAAGTTCAGCCACACACTGTACTACACAGTGAGTTCAAGACCAGTCAGAACCCCATCGTGAGACCCTGTCTCCAAAAAAAAAAATTGTTTAAAATATAGCTGTTCTAGGGTAAAGATGTAGCTTAGTAGCTTAGTGTTAGAACACTTTCCTAGAATGCACAAGTCCTTGAGTTCATTCCCCAGCACTGCAAATATCATTATCATTAGGCTACTGAGGCATGGTGGTATACATTTGTAATCCCAGCTCTTTAGAAGTCTGAGGCAGGAGGATCTCACATTCAAGACAAGCCTGTGCAACTTAGTAAGACTCTTGTCTCAAAATAAAAAGGGGCTAGAGATGTAGATTAGTGCTAAGGTCCTAGCTTCAATCCCCAGTACAGAAAATAAAAAATGTTAGAATTGTTATTTGGAAGTGTTACTTCTCCATAGATACTGTACCTAAGGGGGGAAAAATCTGTGTATAAAGAAGTAATTTTTCCTTTTTATCACCTCCATCAGTGCTAATTGATACTTTACTTTTTTCTAGGTAATATTTCAGTAAATTCAAGCACTTCAGATGGGAGCACATTTACAAGTGAGTCTGCCACAATCCAGCAAGGAAAGGTGTTCTTGAACTCTCTTGCTCCCAATGCAGTGGTATATACTGTTCCTAATTCAGGCCAGACTGTAGGATCTGTGAAACAGGAGGGCTTGGAAAGGAGCCTGGTGTTTTCTCAGTTGATGCCTATCAATCAGAATGCACAAGTAAATGCAAACCTGCCTTCTGAAAATATCCCAGGGAGTGGCCTCCATCCACTGGCCCCCTCATTAGTTAATGTATCCCCAACTCACAGTTTTTCCCTGACTCCCCCTACTCTGCTAACTCCCACTGAGCTAAACCATGACATTGCTGATAGCCAGCCAATGTCTGCACCTGTGGCAAGCAAATCTACTGTGACCTCTGTCGGCAACACTAACTATGCAACACTTCAGAACTGCTCCCTTATTACTGGTCAAGACCTACTGTCAGTCCCTATGTCTCAGGCTGCCCTTGGAGAAATAGTTCCTGCAGCCGAAGACCAGGTAGGTCATGCGACCCCTACAGTTCACCAGGATTTTGTCAGAGAACACCGATTGGTTCTGCAATCCGTGGCTAACATAAAGGAGAATTTCTTACAGAATTCTGAGAGCAAAGCAACAAGCAGCCTTCTCATGCTAGACTCCAAATCCAAGTATGTCCTAGATGGCATGGTTGAGACAGTCTGTGAAGACCTGGAGACAGACAAAAAAGAGCTTGCCAAGCTCCAAACTGTCCAGTTGGATGAAGATATGCAAGACTTATAAACTTTATTTCCTACACTCCCCCTTCCTTTTTGCTTTTGGCATCAGCAGCAGATCTTTTCATGTGGCCCCAGAAACATAAAGCATCTTTCCATTTAAAGGAAAACACACTACTTTTTAAGTACACGCATTCAAGAGACTTTACATTGATCTGCATGAAGATCACAGTTGACTGCACATTGGTAGAACTGCATTGTCAAAACTTCGTTCACTTATCCTGCTCTCTTTTCAATGGAGACAGAGGAGCAAGATGAAATAGGTCAAGTCCGAGTATACCATTTAGTTGGCAGTATAATTTTAAGGTCAAATGGAACCTGATAAGTTTTTTTAAATTAAAAATGTATACATCTGACATAGAAAATTAAACATAGTTGCAGGCGTTTAGAAACAATGCAATTGTTTTTGTTTACTTTTATTACATGGGCATTGATAAGAAACAGAAATGGTACCCCAAACTGTTGTAAGGGTGTATTTTTTGAAGTTGAGTAGCTTAATATATATAAATATATGTATATGCATACAGACACACTTACCTTTTTCAGCATTTTTGAGAAAGTCTTGGTTTAAGTCTGTACAATTTCCAGATATGGTTGCTAGAAGTTCAGTGTAGCTGAGGAAGTTTGAAACTCCACTAAAAACTGAAACAAACTTCAGTGTGAATGTAAATATATCAGTCCTATAAGCAAGATTTGAGTAAGTACAGTGAATTTTATTTATACCGTGTATGTTTCTCTTATACTTCAGGCGCTATGAACTAAAAAGAAAAATGTTTTCTTACTGTTTAATTTATTTTTATTGTTTGAACAGGAAGTGAACATTGTTTCCAATAAAGTTTTACTTTTTGTAGGATTTTAAAGGCAGTGACTTTTATCAGGAGTCTATTACGGTCAATATTAATAACACTGAACCAGGAATTCTAACTCCCAATATTGGAATTTTGGTACTTTTTTTCATATCTTCGTTCTTTATTTAGCAACTCTGATTCTTTTAAATGTGTTTTATATACTCTTCTATGTGCCTTTTTAACTTGTGGCCTTTTTACTAGTAAGATACAGATGTGTCCGCAGAAGCACTGATGGTTCTTTTCTACTATCGAGCGGGGTTAATTTCACCATAGAATTACATCTGGAGAGCTTAAGTTTTACCAAATATTATCTCTAATGCTTCTCATGCAAATGGATAAACAGCTAATTGTCACTGATGCTTTTCATCATGTAATGAAAATAACAGCAATTAAATTATAGAAGGCAATATAAAATCAACTCTGCAGGCTATGACTGCCATTTTAAAGTAAAGAACTAATGTGTCTGTGCTATTGAGCAAAATTCTGTCCTGTGGGAAATTCACTCAGTCGTTTGCATTTCTTGATACACAGCGACATATGACGTTGTTTGCACTCTCTCATCATGTCTTCAAAAGCAGTCTTCTGGTTTCTGTAAGAAGCTTGTTGGATGATGTTGTGAATTGTGTTTATAGTTTTTATCAGGACCCTGAAATGCAAATACAATTTCATAGTGAGTAGTTACTCTGTACTCTCTGAAAAGCCAGAAGTGAGAAAATGATATGTGCAAAGATGACTTAAAGTTGGTCAACATAAAAATGCAGCATCTTTCTTTATGATGAGAACAAAGGGTCCATTCTGGATCTCTGTGCGCACATCGGCAGCATGTGTTGAACAAGGGCCGCAGAGTACTTCATTAACCTTTGCTGTTACTGCAGATGCAATTTGCAGGTACGAGTAAAGAGCTCTATGAAGAATCCCTGTTCCATCACTTTGATAAAGAACTTACATCCAGTTTTTATGGAATTGGTGAACGTTCCCAAACTGCTGAAACTACATTTTATTTTGCTTTGTTTTTACAGAATCAGGTGTTTTGGAGTTCTCTTCCATTTTACAATATTTTATAGCTTGTTTCTTCTTTGGTTGTTGCTGATCTTGTTACCAAGGTTAATTACGTGATTCTGTAGTGTAGTTTACATGAAAATGATGTTTTCCACTTGATTGCTGCAGATATCAAGAGTTTGTTAAATATTTTAAAATATCCATCCAATAGGGAGATGGGAAGGTTTAAAGCGTTATATATGTTACATATATAACAGGGAAAGTTTTATATGTCTTCCAAAAATATAAGCCTGTCTTTTATTTAGAGTTCTTTCCTCATTCTCCTTATGAAAAGAAAGATAGCACAAAAACCTCACACTTATATAGGAAACCCATTTATATTCCCAATATAGTGTAATTATAACTTTACAATTACTCCAGGTAGCTACACAATATACCAGGTAAGAATCAATGCACATGAGAAAGAACTTACTGTTCTTTTCTTTCAGTAAAATACAGGCCAGTCGGTATGTAGCCCAAATATATGTGAATGGAATAATATAAACCCCATGATCTCCTTGCACAGAATTGCAAATGTAATATTGCAATACCAAGGGCCAGACCTGGGAGCCTTGGAGTTCATGTGGCAGGAAATCCTTCCTAACGTAAACCAATGCTTGAAAATGCTGCAAATGACCCTCTAATGATGCCTGATGAGCAATCAGAATAGGGGTAAAGAATTCCCCTCAAGCCCCAACCCCTGCTACTGGCTGTGGGACTTTTTGGTGTGAACCTATCTATGCACTCTATCAGCCAGAGTTTGGCATTTAGCTCTTAGTTACATCCAGCAAAGGACAGTCTCTTGTTTGACGAGAAAGTGCATTTGTTCCTCAAGCAAGCAAGAGCTCCTGTGTTGTACCGCATCGTAGCTCATGTATATTTATATTAAAGACTGAATTATACACATGTTTCAGTGCCTTTCGGGTGTTGTGAAAGGCAGGTAGATGTTATAGCCATAGATTTAAAAAATCTATAGTTTCATTGCACACTGATCTTAAATTGTCCTGTATGCGCCCTTATATCATGCATGTTAAGAGTTGGATTATTGGGCATGTGTAGCAGCCTTCCCTGCTGCATCCTAGACAAGTGTGCATTAGTGCATAGCCACAAGTTCTTCATTCTTTAAAATGTTTTAGTAGATCATCTCACATGAAAAAAAAAATCAGGAAAACCGGGGGTAAGAATTATATTTTACAAAAGATGTTTCCAAGTCTTCCTAAAACTTAGATGATAGAGCCTAATGGTTATTTTGAATCTTACTAGTATATTTCAAGTTAGGGAACTCTTACCACCATAAATTTTATTAGTCAAAATTACGTAGCATGTGACTCTTGGCTTTCAGGGTTCTCAACAAAATCTGTTCTTCCTTTGCATGTACTGTATGTTTAGAGGCAACCAGTTATACACTCAGTATGGTTTTACTGTGCCTTACACAGAGAGAAACTCTATCCAGAATGTATACCATGGGGTGGGGAACAGAGTCTTTACTGCACTGCTAGGTGATGGCACACAGCATGTCCCAGAACATTTCTGTGCTTAATTACCCAACCAAAGAGATCTAAAGTATGTATGTTGTACTGTAATGGGGGTTTATGCCTGGACAATTAAGTGTTTTATTTGTTTTCTGAAATGATGTGAACTTATTTTTCTAAACACTATACTAAATAAACTTTATATTTATACATATCCTCTGTTGAGAAGAAGTCATTTGAGAAAGATTGTTTTTTTTTTTTAAATGTAAGAAACTCTTCCAAGTAGGCAAACAGGAAGTAACGTGGAGATTATTTACATCTGAAAGGGCAGAGAAGGAAATACACATGCATTCCTGAGGCTGGCCAGAGGGAGTGCAGTAGCCCCTCGCTATTTCGAGGTTTGATTTTTGCAGACTCACTGTTCCGCGGGTTTTTAAAACATATTCATCTAAATTATTTATCTCAGATTTTTTGCTGTATCACGGGACTTTGCAGTACAGTACAGTATACATATGTTGTTAACGATCATGTAGGTTTATGAGTTTAGAAAATGGGTAAGAAGATTAGAAGTGTTTTTAAAAGTGGGAAAGGCTTATAAGCGTATGAGAAGGGTTTATAAAGCCTTAAGATATATATAAATATTGAAATAAAACGTCGCTGCTTCACTGATTTTCACTTATCATGGGGGCATCTGGAATGTAACCTCCACAATAAGTAAAGGACGCTGTGATTTTGGAAAAGTTCTCTCTGTTGGTCATTCTACAGAGTTCTGCATTTCTCTTAACTATATGACATACTCAGAACTAAATTGTAAAAATCTTATCCTTAGAGGGAGGACATAGACCTTACTCATTTTTGTGTTCCAAGAACTGAATGTGTAGCCAAGAGGTTGCAGGCGCACAGCCGTGCTGCCAGTGATTCATGTGGCTGAGGCAGGAAAACTGCAAGTTCAAGGCCAGCTTGGGCAACTTAGTGTGAGCCCTTGTCACAGGATAAAATTTTTAAAAGCTCGGGATGTAGCTTTTCCAATATACCTTTTGCAGTTTAAGACCAGTAGCTGGGCATGGCGGTGCAAGCCTGTGATCCCAGCACTGTAGGCAGAGGCCTGAGGATCACTCTGAGTTCAGTGCCAATCTGGGTTATGTAGTGAGTTCAAGGGCAAAGGACCCTATCTAAAATAATAATAATAATAATCCATAGATCTAGTTTCCCTTGACTTAGTATTTTTCTAGTCACATGAAACTTCTCCAAAGAAAAACAGACAAGGTTCTTCCCCGCCAATTCCCAAGATTCAGTCACTGTCACCTCTTCTAGGAAGCCTCTCCCCGCTCCCCCTTCAGTAGAACAGTGCACAGCCTGATCTGTGTTTAGACAAGAATTTAAACCTTGCTTTAGTGTGACACATTCTCTCTCTCTCTCTCTCTCTCTCTCTCTCTCTCTCTCTCTCTCTCTCTCTC